AATTATTATATTGAATTTATTACTGAACAATGGCTTGTTAGATACAGAGAGAGCATGAGCTAATTGAATAGAATATCTTTGTCATTGTACAAGTAACTTACAATAAGATTTATTTTGAAAGTTTCATATTGATAGTAAAGCTTAAGAATACAAATGATTTAAAATGGCAATATAAAATTATCAATTATAAAAAGTTTGCAGCAGTATTCAAATAGTGCAAATAGCTCAGATGTGCAATGCAGCATTAAAACCTAAACAGTACAAACAGAAAACATAATGTAATAAAACGGTAGGGGGTGAATTTATTATTCCATGTACATTTGAGGTTGATGTGTGTACTGGGCTACTTTTTAGTTACAGCAGCTATCACTGTGTTGTTATGAAGACAGTTGAGCAAGACAATTTTGGAGGCAGAGACAGATTGTGGGGGGCGCTATAGGGAAAAACGTAAACTGCTGGAATAAAGAGTTTTAAAAGGTTAGTGATGGAAAACTGCAGGTCAATGGGCATCAATGTTTAAGGTTGGTAAACCCGCCTGACATTGGCATGTGTTATTCAGGTGTCAAAGTTGTGCAGAATTGAAGGAAGAAACCTCAAAGACAGTGCCAGAAGGATGCTGGACAGGTAAAGCTGAGAGACCAACAAAATATACCTTCAGTTATTTACATTTGTTTCATAAATGTTAGAAAAAATTCACACTGTATTTAAAGTAAACTATATTTTTCTATTACCTGTTTAGTCCATAGTGTGGCTGTTTGTTGAGGCATTTCAGTCTGATCTTCATGGGTCTTTAATGCTGTTGGGAAACATGCTGTATGAATCACAGCGAAATCACAATAAAGCAGTAGAGCAATAAGAAAAAATGTATAGTTTAACCAGTTAAAATGAGAAACAGAGAAAATACTAATAATCAGGAAATTGTGGGAACGAAACTTAGCACTCAATACACATATTTTTGTAAGGCTGATATGATTGGGTGGTTTACTTTGGTACTCTAAGAACTAAGAGTTTAAATTAGATCAATAGGTCTCATTTCTCAGTTTACTGATTACACTCTGAGTCTGATCAAACACTTAACAATCCTCTGGATTTCAGTTCATTCTGACAAGAGGTAGAGGTTAGAACCGGTGTAGAATGAAGTTACAGTATATGAAACACTCACATTTTCTTACTGTTATCTCCTCTGTCCTGTCTCCACTGGTGACCTGACACAGGTAATAACCAGCATATGATTCTCTGACATCCTTCAGCTGTAAGGACACAATTCCTCTCTCCAGCTCATCAATGCATAGACTCTTTATGCCTTCATAACTCTCCCCCTTTATCAACCGTTTGTTCTTATAGAAATACACACAGTCTGTTTCCTTAAACCATCTAATCTCCATATTGACAGCACTGATTCCAGGAGACAGGTGACACTGAATGGTGGAATCTGAATGAGTTGCTTCAGAGAAAACTATCTGAAACTCATCTGTATTGGAAAAAGAGAAAATGTGGACTTACACAAATGATTAGCTATTATCTTTTATAGCATATTAATGGCATTAAGTATGATGGAAATTACATTTTTTAACAGAACTTACTATTGCTTTTAGCCTCCATTTTCTCTCCTAAATAGGAACATAAGACACAAAATGACACAGCAGAATGATTCCAGATTGCCACTTCACTCTTATTCCATCACTAATGTAAACCTGTTGTATTTGAGTAAAAAGAATCCTTTAGCCATTATTTTGTTGTCTATTAGATGTTTATATGTAGTCATTCATTAGCTGTCTATTTGATGTCTGATCTATTCTTGGGCTATGGTTAGACGTCTATTACATTTTCACTGACAGCCCAAATTTAGCCTTGTTTTAGCCTAGACGTCTGGGCTGTGTTTAGACGACTAATAGACGTCTTTTAAACGCAAAATTGCTTGCTGGGAACCAATTGCGTGAGTTTGGGGCAGGACTATCTAACCAATGAAATACATTAGGCATGTTCAGCAATCCTGACTGAAAACATTATTTTTGCAATTCCATTCTGTGAGGTTGAAGGAATAGTTGAAATTTGCTGAAAATGTACACACCCTCGGGCCATCCAAGATGTAGATGAAAATCAAAAAGATTTGGAGAAATGTAGCATTACATCACTTGCTCACCAATTGATCCTCTGCAGTGAATGGGTGCCGTCAGAATGAGAGTCCAAACAGCTGATAAAAACATCACAATAATCCACAAGTAATCCACATGCCTCGAGTCCATCAATTAACATGTGTAGTGAAAAACTGCATGTTTGTAAGAAATAAATCCATCAAGATGTTTTTAACAAACCATTGCTTCCGTTGCCTCGTCTGAGTCAGGAGAGAAATATGCACAGATTAAGCACCATTTACAAGTGAAAACAGTCCAAAACAGCTCTAAACAATATGGATTACTTGTGGATTATTGTGATGTTTTTATTAACTGTTTGGACTCTCATTCTGACGGCACCCATTCACTGCAGAGGATCCATTGGTGAGCAAGT